CCTATTGGAAAGTCTGACCACTCCTCTGTTCTCCTTCTTCCTTTGTATACTCAGAGGAGCAGGGAACATAAACCAACCTCTCGCACTGTGCAGTGTTGGTCTGAGGAGGCTAGCATGAAGCTACAAGGTTGTTTTGATGCTACGGACTGGTCTGTATTTCAGTCAGAGGACGTCAATGAATTCTGTGACTCTGTGTCTGGATACATACGCTTCTGTATTGACTGATGTGTCCCACAGAAGGTCATTAAAGCACATTTTAGGCAAAACCCTTGGATGAACGCTGAAGTGAAACTGAAACTTCATGAGCGTGCGTTGGCGTTTCAATCAAATGATACAGTTGCTTATAAGCTATCCTGTTACTCATTGAAACGTTCTATTAAATCTGCAAAGCGCAGTTACGGGGACAGGTTAAAGAGTTATTTTGAGAAAGATGACCCTCGGCGCATGTGGAACGGTATTAAAGCCATCACATCGTGGAAACCTAGTGCTGGGAAAATTGCATCTGTCGGCCAAGCTCTTCCAAACGAGCTTAACACGTTCTACTGTCGCTTTGAATCCACTGATGCCTGTCCTACTGTATTCCCTGAGTGTTTCAATCAAGTTGCCTTCACTGTGACTCAGGAGGAAGTCAGGCGTGTCTTGTCCAGGACCATAGTCTGGAAAGCCCCAGGCCCGGACGGCATCCCTCCTCGTGTCCTGAAACTGTGCTCTGAGCAACTTGCCCCTGTGCTAACAGACATTTTCAACCTGTCCCTAAGGAACTGTACTGTGCCGAACTGCTTTAAAGAGTCGACCATCATTCCAGTTTCTAAGAAAACTCCTGTGACATGCCTGAATGACTATCGTCCTGTGGCCCTCACGTCTGTTCTTATGAAAACTTTTGAGCGGCTTGTGCTGGACTTCATTAAGAGCCAGATCCCTGTGAGTGTTGACCCGCTCCAGTTTGCTTACAGACAGAACAGGAGTGTGGAGGATGCAATCTCCTTTGCTCTGAACTCTGTCTACAGTCACTTGGACACTTGTAAATCTGTCGCAAGAATGCTTTTCATCGATTATAGCTCTACTTTTAACTGCCTTGTCCCAGGTAAACTGATTGAAAAGCTCATGTCTCTCGGTTTAAGTGTTGCCATGTGTAAATGGATTTTTAGCTTTTTAACTGACAGATCTTAGAGAGTGAAAATCAATTACTGTTTTTCTGATGTTGTTTCTGTGAGCACTGGTTCTCCTCAGGGATGTATTTTGAGTCCTTTGCTTTTTACTTTGTACACTCACGATTGTGTGTCCTCCTCTGACTCAAACTTGATCATCAAATATGCTGATGTTACCACCATCATCGGTCTCATCAGTAACAATGATGAATCCTCTTATAGAGCAGAGATACAAAATGTGGTTCAGTGGAGTAAAACTAACAACCTCCAGTTGAACGCATCGAAAACATGTGAACTGGTCTACGACTTCAGTCGCAATAGTTCTCATTTGCCTGTCGTAATCGACAACTCCCAGGTGCAGATCGTAGAGGAATGCAAGTTTCTGGGTTTAACTCTGTCTAACGACCTGAAATGGGTTAAAAACACTGACCGAGTCGTTAAGAAAGCTCGTCAGCGTCTCTACTTTCTGCGTAAACTTAGAGAATTTACCACTAACTCTAAGATTCTGCTTAACTTTTATCGCTGCACCATTGAGAGTTTACTTGTTGGTTCTGTGTCTGTGTGGTTTGGTAACATCACAGATAAAGAAAAGAGAGCTTTAAACAAGGTGCTCCGCTCTGCAAAGAGGACCGTGGGCTGTGAGCTTCCTGTTCTGGAGGTTCTTTATAAATCCAGACTTTTAAACAAAGCTCTTAGAATTGTTAATGACTCTTTTGGCCACCCTGGAAAAGCCATGTTCCAGCTTCTTCCCTCTGGCAGAAGATATCGCTCTCTGAGATGCAGGACATCTCGTTACGCTAACAGTTTTTATTCACAAGCTGTTATCAGTTTGAACAGAGCACTTTAATGATTTGCACTGTTTTTGAAACTGTTTTAGTCGATCGATTTCACAGTGACATTTGTTTACTGTTTTATTTGTTTTATTTTTGTCTTTTAATGTTGTTTTATGTCTGTATTTGTCTGTGCACACCGGAGACTTTTTGCTAATGTATTCCAATGTGGGTTTTTTTTTTTTTTTACTGCAAATGGCAAATAAATAAACTAAACTAAACTAAATGAGGACAAAACTGATTTTATTTTGTTTGGCGATTCACATGTTTCAGATTTTGGGCTGTTGTCTTGTTTTAAACCAATGGTCAGAAACCTTGGTGTTGTTTTTGATCATTCTTTTCGTTTTGACAAACATATTGACAGTGTGGTTAGGTCAAGTTTTTATCAGCTCCGTATTTTAACCAAGGTTAAGCCTTTTTTAAACCGCTCCGACCTGGAAAAAATGATCCACGCTTTTATCAGTTCAAGAATTGATTACTGTAATGCCCTTTATTTTGTAGTTCCCCAGTCTTGTTTTAATCGTCTCCAGTTAGTGCAAAAGGCTGCAGCTCGTTTTTTAACAAACACGCCCAGACGTGAACACATCACCCCAGTCCTCCATTCCCTACACCGGCTTCCAGTTTCATTTCGAGTTGATTTTAAAATTTTACTCTTTGTTTTTAAAGCCCTCAATGGTCTCGCCCCTTCGTACTTGTCCGAACTTTTGTCTGTTCGTGACTCAGGCAGATCATTGAGGTCCTCATCTCAACTCCTCCTGGAAGTACCTTGGCCTAGGTCCAAACACTGGGGAGACCGGTCCTTCTCAGTTGCTGGACCCAGACTCTGGAACAGGCTGCCCCCTGATATGCGTGTCCTTAATGATTTTGGCCTTTTTAAATCGAGGCTCAAAACATATTTATTCAGACTGGCTTTTAACACTTTTATCACTCAATAGCAGGTGATACTTTTTAAAGGCTTTTTAAAATGTTTTTTAAAAATGTTTTAATGTTTTAGTGCATAAATGTTTTAAATTGATTTTATGTAATTTTATTGTGAAGCACTTTGGTCGCCTTGAGTGTTGTAAAGGGCTCTATGAATAAAATGGATGGATTGATTGATTGATTAAAGCACTCTACTTTAATTTAGCACATAGTTAGGCCTGTTTGCCTGGATCGGTTTGCACACTTGGTGTGCAATCCATGAATCTTGGTGCTGTAGCCTAGGCTTGCCTAGCCGTGGCTGCTGCTGTCTCACCTATTTTCAGATACGCTCTCTTTATTCAAAGCTAGGCTTAAAATAGTCCTCTTTAGTTTAGCATACGGCTAGGAAGGTAAGACTCAGGGAAGGCTAAACTCCTCAGACTCCTCTGTCAGTGAAGCTGCATAGGGAGTCAGTTTGCTGGGAGAAGTATGGTAACTTGAGCACTATCCTCTCCTCCTTCCTACTTTACCTGTTTAGCATTATTAGGATTTTGACCTTGTTTTGTTCATTGCTATTCACCCTTTGTCCCATTGTCTGTTTCATGGTACGATGACAGGACCTCTGGACCTGGCCTCCTCCATCTACACCTTGCGGACTGCCCCGCCCCACCCGCCTGGGAGGGCTTCAGTCCTGCACCGGACCTGTCCACGTTCTGTAGCTAGCTTAGGTCCTGGATCATAAGCCTGTCCGTCCGGAGGAGCGGATCCCTTTCTCAAATGGGTCTCCCTGTGGGTTTCCCTAGGTCTCCCCAAGGTTTCTCACTTATTCCCACTGGGTTTTTTATGAGTTTTTCCTTGCCGATGCAGGAGGGTCTTGTTGGACAGTTAGTGTCCAACAGAAAGGATTTGGTGATGATCCAGGACACTTTAACATTCTACAACATTTATGGACATTCTTTTGTGTGTGCTTTATATTTTTCATGTGTTTTAACTGTTGATTCTCTGATTTGTGTTGGTGATTTCAATGGAAGTCCTCTGAGATGACTTCTTTTTTGACCTAGGGCTATACAAGAATAAATGGTATTGTATTGTATTGTGTATGTATAGACAAGCTAAAAATAAGTATATGAGACCGAACTGAACAAATTCAAAGCCCATAGAGAGCTGGGATGATGAGAAAAAAACATTGCTCATACTCACCTCTCTTTTGGCAACGATCTGCTGGGACTGGGACTCGGAAACATTTATTCTTACTTCATAGAAAACCCGAGACCCTTCACTCAAGAAGGGTCGCGTCTTTCATCACGGTAAAGTGGCCTGGCAGTAAAGCACATTAAAAGCGGGTTGCACCTGTTTGCTGTTACATACGGTAAAGGTGGAACAGGAAGCCGTGGAGATGAGCAACCAAAATGCAATGTTTAAAATTAATCATCACTCATGAACGAATGAATGAGTGAACAAGTCCGCAGTGAAAATAGTTGCAAAACTTTGTTTTTGATTTGTTTATGAATTTTTATCCCCTCATCCCCCCTGCTTCCCATTCTATGTTTACCGTAGGTAACAGCATAAAAGTGCAACCACTTTACCGCGGCCGTTTTTCGCTGTTCTTTTCCGGAAGAATTAGAAAAAAAACTTAATCTGTCCCTAGCGGGCCGTACAACCGACCACACAACAAGAACGGACCGTTCGATTTAGTAAAACCTCTCGTCTAAACGTCTGAAAATAGCTAACTCTCTAGCATCCAGGTAGCTTTCAATGCTGTAGTGCCACACAGTCACGTGACCGGAGGAGAAAAACTATAAACAACGATGTCACTCCTAGATCCTCCTATTGCTACTACTGCTAGTAATAAAAGGTTGAAGCTGCGTTGAAACTGCGTCCTGCACTCAAAACCAAAAGGCTTAAAGGAGTTGACTCATTATTTCCTCATAAAGGTATCTAAGTGGTGACAAAATTTAAAAACATATGCATAATGTTGGCCAATAAAAAGGATCTTCAGAGTAATGAATAAAATGCCGGCTTTGTCAATCTAATCAATATCAAATATGATCTGGGTAAACAACAAAAGGTTTAAAATTGCTAATACGGAGTCACAGGGGGTGCTGGTGAAACCTGGACTCACAGGCCACCACAGCAGCAGAGCGGTTTTTCTTGGCATTTCCGTCCTTCAGCCCGATGGTGGTGCTGTTGGGTTCAGCCTGATATGCACACAGAGCATCCCACTCCTGTTGCAGGCGCTCACGGTTCTTTAGGTGGTCCTCCATGTAGGCCTGAGGAGACATAGAACAGCTTTTTCATACAGAAAAGTGAAGAAGATAAGTTACTGATAGTCATGTGGATGCGACAAAATACAACTGGAACATTAGAAATTATTCTTAGGCACCCAGTACAAATAGCAAGATGGCTGCTTGATCACCTGTGGGGTGATTTGGAACTTTTCTCTTCAGAAAAGTTCCAAATTATTTGGATAAACAGCTAAGATATTGGTATAGTTTTGGTTGGTTAAACGTCTGCGGAAAGCAACAGACTGAAAATATGGCAGATAATACACAACAGCTTAAGGGAAAAGACGCAGTAGCTGATGGTGGCATTGTGGCACTACTGAATGAAATAAGATCGCTGAGCGCAAAGATGGACAATATGCAAAATTCCCTTGAGCAACAGATAAACGACAAATTCTCTAGACTGGATGAAGGAATAGGAATACTCATTTCTGAGAGTCAGGCCAGTATGAAGAACGAGCTGGAGAAAATGGCTGCGTAAAAATGTTCTAATTTGGATACTGAGGTGGAAATAATGAGCTCCAGAATGGAAGGATGGAAGCAAAAATTGCTGCCAAACGCGCAAAACCAAGCTTTGATCCAAGTGTCTCCGTCATCATTGTGGGGCTACAACAAGAGGACAATGAGTAAGTAAGTAATCTTTATTTATATACCGCCTTTCCCAGACCAGAGTCACAAAGCGGTTTACAATTGTTATTATTTTGGGCATTTGTCCTCTCACTCCACACAGAGGGATGGGAGCGGGGTCGCCAGTACAGAAGGCGCATGCCAGCCCTATTGTACATATTTTTAGTGGTAGGAGAAACCGGAGTACCCGGAGGAAACCTACGCAGACACGGGGAGAACATGCAAACTCCACTCAGAAAGGTCCGACCGGGTTTCAAACCCAGGACCCTCTTGCTGAGAGGCGAGAGTGCCGCCCAAGGATCTCATGGCCAACTCAACTATGTGACGGCCTCGGGTGTGATCCGGTGCCTACCCCAGCAGTGGTGGAACACATGTGTGAGCGAGGCAACAAGCCCAGCTTGGTCAAAGTGGAGCTGCCGTCAGTTGAGAAGGTGTCGGTGCTACGACGCAAAGCTACAATCGCTACCAGAAAGTTTTTGTGTCTTCAGCTAAATCCCATGCAGAAAGGCTGGTGGATTTAAACTTCAGGACTCTAATGAAAGAAACGCTACTTGGGAAAGACTTTTATTTGGCTGCAAGTGGACTCTTAGTTAAGCGCACCGATTGACGACAAGGAGCAAATTGACCAAACAGTGCCCAGTCCGTAAGTACTGATTTTCAGCAACCCTTAGCAATAGCAACCATAACTCTTTGGAATGTAAATGGATGGACACGATCTAACTGTACCCTCCGGGCATCCTTGTTGCAGTCTCTGAACCCAGACATCGCACTTCATGAAACGCACTTGGTTGCCGATGACGCAGCCGAGCTAAGTGGCTATAGTTGGTTTGGAAACAACAGAAAAAGACACATACAGTACATGCACCTAAAGGCTCCGGGGGAGTTGGATTATTGGTCAGAACAGGGCTGTTTGAACATTTCAAAATCCATGTGGCGGATAAGTCTGTGGATGATATTTTAGGTGTGCACTTTGAACACTGCACCACCAGCTACAGTTCTGTTGTTTTTTCTTGTTATCTTTCCCCATAGGGATCCGTCAGAGGGAAAAACTGCAAAGCATTCGTTTCTGCTCTGCTGTCTCAAATGTACTGCTTAGAAGTGGATGTAATTTATGTTTGTGGCGACTTTAATTGTTGTGTTGCTGATAAAGAGGACTGTATTGAAGGCCTGGACAATTTTACTCCTAGAGTGTCGCTGGATCTTATTTCCCAATAGTCACAGGGACTCGTTTCTTGATTTTTTTAAAGACTGTAGAGTGTTGTATAATGAATGGCAGGCTTAATGTGAACGATGATCATTTCACCTCAATTTCAGTTCGTGGGAAAGCTGTAGAAGATTATGTTGTGACACCCCATTCCTGCTTAGAATCTTGTGTTGACTTTAAAGTGATGACTGCCACAAACGTACTAAACCAAAATGCAGCTAAATGTTTTTCTCTTATTCGCGATAGATGCCATTTACCTGACCCCTCTTTACTGCAATCAACTTTTAAAGTGGGCAACCAAATAAATTATGAAAGTGTACATCCTTGTGCTGAAAGAAGAAAAAGGCAAATCCCTGAGACATTTTTCGCATCTACTTGTTGCCAAATGGCAGTGCAGGGGTTAGCAAATAAATTAAATTGGTGCGACAGTACTCGGCTTGATGTTGATATGTGGTATGAGGATTTTTGTTCACTTATAAGAGAAGAAATAAATTCATATCAAAAGTGCACGTTTAGCAAAAATTGCAATAATTTAAGGTGGGGTATAAAACCTTTTTGGAATGGTCATCTAAAAATGTTCTGGAATGAATGAAAAACAGCAGAGGGAGTTTCATAAGTGTCAAGTGCTTCAAAATAAACATCACTTGAGGGAAAATTATAAGCAAAAACAATCCCTCTTTGACAAATCTTTAAGACTCTACAAGAGACAGTTTGAAAAGGGTCAAACACTAAGGCTTGATCATTTTACAAACAAGCAATCCTCAGCAGTTTTGGAAGGAGATTAATAATTCGGGACCACAAAGAATCAAGATAATTCCAATGGAAATAATCATGGATAATGGTGCTGTATAGTTAAGAAAAGAGCAAGTAATGAAACAATGGGAACCAGATTTCACTAATATATATTCAGGACTTACTAATACAGATGATTTCGATTCTTTTTTTCTATGATCTCTCAGTTAGGGTAAAAGAGCAGCTTGAATTAGTTATGTGTAATAATAATAATAGTTACCAATCAAATATATTTCTTAATTTTGATATATCCCGGGAGGAAGTGTGCAATGCCAAATGAAGTGCTAAAGTCCCCACATCTTAGGAACCTGCTTTTTGGTCTATTTACTTTCTGCTTTGATGGCATTGTACCCTCCACATGGTAGAAATAAACAATTAAACCTTTCCCCAAATCGGTTAAAGATGATCCCAGAGTACCTCTTAACTACAGGGAAATCAGCCTTTTAAGTACTGTCTATAAAATCTATGATTGGAAATTACGCAGTGTTTGGTAGATGAACAAAATGGATTTCGAAAACACAGTATTGCATGTATTGATCATATTTTTTCTGTTTTAACTACCGTTAGAACTAGACTAACTGAATAAACCTACTTTTGTTTGTTTTGTGGACTTTAAAAAGGCTTTTGACTCGGTGAAGAAATGTGTTACGTCTGAAGCTCCTCCAGGCTGGGGTAGATGAAAGATCCATCCATCCATCGATCCATCCATCCATCCATTTTCTTCCGCTTTATCTGTTGCCGGGTCGCGGGGGCAGCAGTCTAAGCAGAGACGCCCAGACTTCCCTATCCACACACACTTCCTCTAGCTCGTCCGGGGGGACCCCAAGGCGTTCCATGGCCAGCTGGGAGACATAGTCCCTCCAGCGTGTCCTAGATCTTCCCCGGGGCCTCCTCCCAGTGGGAGGTGCCCGGAACACCTCCCCAGGGAGGCGTCCAGGAGGCATCCGGAACAGATGCCCGAGCCACCTCAACTGGTTCCTCTCGACGTGGAGAAGCAGCGGCTCTACTCAGAGCTCCTCCCGTGTGACTGAGCTCCTCACCCTATCTCTAAGGGAGCGCCCAGCCACTCTGCGGAGGAAGCTCATTTCGACCGCTTGTATCTGCGATCTCGTTCTTTCGGTCATTACCCAAAGCTCATGACCATAGGTGAGGGAGGGAACGAAGATTGACCGGTAAATTGAGAGCTTTGCCTTTTGGCTCAGCTCCCTCTTTACCACAACGGTCCGATACAGCGACCGCATCACTGCACCGATCCGCCTGTCAATCTCACGCTCCATTCTTCCCTCACTCGTGAACAAGACTCCGAGATACTTGAACTCCTCCACTTGAGGAAGGACCTCTCCACCCATCTGTAGAGGGCCAGGCACCTATTTCCGGTCGAGCACCATGGCCTCGGATTTGGAAGGGCTGATTCTCATCCCAGCCGCTTCACACTTGGCTGCAAACCGCCCCAGTGCATGCTGCAGGTCCTGGTTCGTTGGAGCCAACAGGACAACATCGTCTGCAAACAGCAGAGATGAAATCCTGTGGTCTCCAAACCGGACCCCCTCAGACCCCTGGCTGCGCCTAGAAATTCTGTCCATAAACACAGTGAACAGAACCGGTGTCAAAGGGCAGCCCTGTCGGAGGCCAACATTCACCGGGAACAGGTCTGACTTACTGCCGGCAATGCGAACACAGCTCTGGCTCCAGTCATACAGGGATCGGATGGCCCTCAGCAGAAGACCCCCGACCCCGTACTCCCGGAGAACCCCCCAAAGGACACCCCGGGGAACACAGTCGAACGCCTTCTCCAAATCCACAAAGCACATGTGGACAGGTTGGGCGAACTCCCATGAACCCTCGAGTACCCTCGAGAACCCTCTTCCTGAATCCGAGATTCGACCATCGGCCGTAGCCTCCTCTCCAGTACCTTGGAGTAGACCTTACCGGGGAGGCTGAGGAGTGTGATCCCACGATAATTGGAACACACCCTCCGGTCCCCCTTCTTGTAGAGAGGGACCACCACCCCGGTCTGCCACTCCATTGGCACCGCCCCGATCGCCACGCGATGTTGCAGAGAGGTGTCAGCCAAGACAGTCCTACAACATCCAGAGACTTTAGATAGTCAGGACGGATCTCATCCACACCCGGAGCCTTGCCACCATGGAGGCTGCCAACCACCTTGGTGACCTCAGCCAGGGAGATGGATGTATCCGCCCCAACATCCTCAGCCTCTGCCTCTGTAACGGAGGACGTGACGGGGGGATTGAGGAGAACCTGGAAGTATTCCTTCTACCGCCCGACAATATCCCCAGTCGAGGTCAGCAGCTCTCCACCCGCAACGTACATGGTGTTGGCAAAGAACTGCTTCCCCCTCCTGAGGCGCCGGATGGTT